GACCCCTCCTTGGGCTCAGAGTCAGGACCCTCAACATGGGAGGAGGCTATCGGCCCCAGAGGCCTTTTCAGGAGCACACAGCAGGCTCTGGGAGAGGCAGCAGCCTTGAGACAACTCACAGGCCCGGGTTCAACCTCACTTTTCACTGACCAGTAACAAGTTCACCCAGAACCAATGTGCAGATCTCACCACTGCCACCGGGGCCGACCTCAGGCTCATCCGGTTAAACTCACCCACCTAATACAGGATGGACTCCTTCCTGCCCATCAGCCAGAGCCACGGTCCTGCATTACTCATGCCACTGGCCACGTGGCTAGAGGACAAGCCTCGGCTGGAAGAACACAGCAGCACTTTGTTAAAGTAGAGCAAACAGGAAAAAGAGAATTCATTTCTGAGGCAATTTATTTCTTCCTCGCCCTGTCCGGCCCTGTCCCTCCCTGTCCCAAGGCAGATTGGCCCTCAGGCCTGGCCTAGCCCAGGGGCTCCCGCAAACCCTGGGGTGGGTGTGGGGGGTGGCTTCAGGTCGCAGTAGCTGAAGGCACAGCCCTCCAGCCCATCTCCCTGGGAGAGGCCGTTGAGGCCAGGTTCCTCGAAGGCTCTGGCGCCCTCACGCACGCCGGCTCTCTCCAGTGTGGTTCTCAGAAGCTCTCGGATTCTCTGGTTTTCCTTGGAGGTGGACTCCCACACGACCTCAAGCTCACCTTCCATTTCCCTGGGGAAAGTAAATAAAGCAAAGGAGCAAAGTTTAAAAGAGTGTCCTTTTTTGGGGGGCCCTCCCTGGTGGCGCAGCGGGTTAAAGCGCAGCACTGAGAAGCTAAAGCCGCTTCCACATGAGTTCGATCCCCGCCTGCCCCCGGGGGAGATCCACATGGCGCGGCAGACCTCTCCTGACCAGCCCGCCCGCTGCTCCCCTCAGCAGAGTACTTCCCCTGAGGGGAGCAAACTGAGGCTAAAAAGACATTTTTGAGGCAATCAGGGGAAACCCCAATGAAAAGACTAAATAGTTTACTGGGCATGGGCAGAGGAAGCTGGAACACAGAGCAGAGATGGCACCTCAGAATGCAGGGTGGTGGGAAGATGAACACATGAGCATTGTTTAAGCCTTTTTGTATTTTCCGGGGTCTCCCTGGAGGCGCAGGGGTTAAGGTCTCCGGCGCAGGGGTTAAGGTCTCCTTGCAATCAAGCTATCACCAGACACAGTAGCATGAGTTCGACCCCTGGGCAGGGAGGTGACCCAGATATGGCACAGCAGACCTCTCCTGTCTCCCCGCTGCTCCCCTCAGCAGTGTACTTCATTCATCTGCCTGTTCCGCTCCCCACTCTGTCTCTGGTGAATCCTCCTTTCACCCACCATACCTCTAGCCTATACCCCAGTTCTATGCAAAACTAAAATTAAAAAAAAAAATCTTTATAAAAGAAAGAATTTTTTTTAATAAAAAGACCAAGTACTTATTCTAAAAATGAATAGTGAGATTTTCCAAAGACCCAAATAAAGCTTCTAAAAATTGCAGCAGTTGAAATATAAAACTCAGTGGCTGGGTTAAGGAGTCGATTGAATGCAGCCCGAGAGGGGGATATTGAGCAGATGAAATTACGCAGAATGCAGACCCCAAAAAACAGGGAGAGGGAAAGCCGAAAAGATAAGGCACATGAAGGTTTCAGAAAGATGAGCTAAGTCTGACTGAGTCCTAGAAGGAAATGTAGAAAGAATGAGGGGGAAGACTTATTTAAGAGGTAACGGCTGAGAATTTGTAGGTTGACAAGAGATACACAATCACAGATATAGAGGCAAAGGTCATGACAAATAGATAAATAAAAAGCTCACAGCATTACAGAGGGGAATCTCATTAAAAGGGGGTGGGGGGCCCATGGTCCGCCTAGGGAAGGGTGGTGCTGTCCAGGGGGAGTTAGGAAGAGACACGGAAGACACAGAGAGCCCGCTCACTGAGAAACAATTCTCCTTTCTTCTCTTTCGATGCACAATCATTGTGTTAAAGATCTTAAAAGGGCCCAACCTGGTGGCGCAGCGGGTTAAAGCACTGCACTGAAAAGCTAAAGCCACTTCTACATGAGTTCGATTCCCGCCTGCCCCGGAGGTGACCACATGGCG